ACATGGAATGTGGCTCTCCCGACCATGCTGTCAAAACATGCTGAAGTGATCCAAACAAGCCACCGTATTTAAAACAACATTAATGCTTCCTCATGATTTTATTCCAGATCGGCGAACCGTGATATGGTGGCATCCGAGGGCGTTGGCAATGCATTGTATATGTTGACCCCATCTGCAACATTCGCAGCTGTTACTCGCATATCTCTTTCGTACCTTGTATATCATATCATGCACTCTAGTATTTCTTTTACCGCATATGTGAATCAGTCTATACGTGAAATTTGATGCAAAATACTTTCGCTTTGAATATTGCTATTGCTTTAAGGATTGATATTGCTGTGTGTAAACAGAAAAATGGAAAATGTCACTTTAGATGTTCCTAAACACCTTTCACAAGATAAGTTACGCTCTCACTTGTTTTCACTCAATGCAACTGCGAAAATGTTTTAAAAGACTGAAATCATAAGAATTTGATTCCTTTACACCTACTACACTCCACAACAGTCTTCGTTTTGTTTTAATAACCTAAAAAATGATGACTTTAAAATGACGAGCGTCTTCGTCCCCAAAGCAGAATTTTATTTCCAACCTTTCTTTGGACATCTAAATCAATGTTGTATTGGGGCCTATTCTCGGTATTGGTCGAAAATAGGACGGAATTTAACTCTCTTCTGGAAAACAGCCATTACCACCCAAATATGAACGCGTTTGAGGATACGGTGGTCGTTCAGATCTGGCAATAAAGCCGTGTTGTTCAGCTTCTTTGTAAACCACATCACCTTCTAACATATCTTTTGATAGTTTTAAGAAATTCATAGCGGTAGGAGTGGCAACCTTTAGCAAGTAGGTTCAGCCTTTTACCGGTATTGCTAAACACCACCACGCCCCGTGAGTAGGAAAGATTTCGGGGTTCTTGTAAAACAAATATTATAAGGACACTTCTTTACCGGTAATCCATTAATTAATTAATCTATTGAAATGTGGCTTTACCTCGGCTACAGCCATGTAATTGAAATGTGGCCTCTCCCGGCCTGACACCCTCACTTAATTTGTACAAATTATAGGTTGGCTGCAATGGGATGAGCTGACCACCGATTCCCCATATCAAGCATTGGATTCACCATGGGGTGAGTTGACCACCGATTCTGTCAGTCAAGCATTGGTTCACCATGGGATGAGTTGACCACCGATTCCCCTCATCAAGCATTGGTTCACCTATGGGAGGAGTTGACTTCACCGATTCCCTGTCAAGCATTGGTTCACCATGGGATGAGTTGACCACCGATTCCCTGTCAAGCATACTGGTTCACTTCATGGGAGTGAGTTGACCACCCGATTCTCCTGTCAAGCATTGGTTCACACAATGGGATGAGTTGACCACCGATTTCATCCATAAGATTACACAATGAATAGTTGATTCCTGTCAAGCATTGGTTCACCATGGGGATGAGTTGACCACCGATTCCCTGCTCAAGCATTGTGGTTCACAATGGGATGAGTTGACGCACCGATTCCCTGTCAAGCATTGGTTCACCATGGGATGAGTTGACCACCGATTCCCTTGTCAAGCATTGGTTCACCATGGGATGAGTTGACCACCGATTCCCTGTCAAGCATTGGTTCACCATGGGATGAGTTGACCACCGATTCCTGTCGAAGCATTGGTTCACCATGGGATGAGTTGACCACCGATTCCCTGGTCAAGCATTGGTTCACCATGGGATGAGCTGACCACCGATTCCCTGTCAAGCATTGGTTCACCATGGGATGAGTTGACCACCGGATTCCCTGTCCAGCATTGGTTCACCATGGGATGAGCTTGACCACCGATTCCCCCTCGCAAGCATTGGTTCACTCATGGGATGAGTTGACCACCGATTCCCTGTCAAGCATTGGTTCACCATGGGATGAGCTGACCACCGATTCCCTGTCAAGCATTGGTTCACCATGGGATGAGTTGACCACCGATCCCCTGTCAAGCATTGGTTCACCATGGGATGAGTTGACCACCGATTCCCTGTCAAATAATTGGTTCACCATGGGATGAGTTGACCACCGGATTCCCCTGTCGGCATTGGTTCACAATGGGATGAGTTGACCACCGATTTCCCCTGTCAAGCATTGGTTCACCATGGGAGGAGTTGACCACCGATTCCTGTCAAGCATTGGTTCACAACTCTCATCGTAAGGCGACTTATGACTTGGTTGACACACATGTCATCGTATCCCAAATGCATAGAATAGGTCATCAACAACCCATGTGCTTTGCTATAAAGGCGACTATGCTTGTCATGTAAGACGCGACTAACGGATTGGGTGAGTCAGTTTCGCTGCCTTGGTTGACACACTATGTCATCGGTTCCCAATTGCGCAGATCGATGCTCCTGCTGTTGATCACTGGATTGTCTTGGTCAGACTCGATTATTTACAGACCGCCGCCATATAGCTGGGATATTGCTGAGTGCGGCGTAAAACTAAACTCACTCACTCACCATATGCATAGATCTATACTCATACAGTTGATCACTGAAATTGCCTGGTCCTGACTGGATTATATATTATTACCAGACCGATGTCATAGCTGAATATTGCTGGAGGTGCGGCGCTGAACACCAAACAAATTCACAAAATTACTACTCGTGTGGTGCTGTAGACGGGGCGGTGCTCTGTCTTGACATCGACCACAGAATACATTGACTGTTCCCACTCCGCCAGATTGCCGACTGGACTATAACGGGATTCAGTGTCCGCTTCACTGAGACCTGCCCCAGGGGATATACGTAAGTACTCCTACAGCCATCGGTGTGTGGGTACATGACATACTGCTGCTACCCACTCCACCATCAAGCACCTGTCACACCCTCCCCCAGCACCCAGCAGCCGCCTGTTGCCTCGGTAAACCAAACCCCATCACACAGGTAAATGTCTTATTACACATTAGCCAAGCAGAGTTTTATTTACCTGTACCCCCTATTTGTCTTCTCATTATGAGGGAGGTGGTTACGTGTAGTGGTGAGCGTTTAAATACCAGTTTGCGGTGGCACATCATCGTATACAGCCCACAGGCAATTCTACAGGCACAGAGTTTGGAAATCCTGGTGGCGGAGATTTGTTCGATGGGTGAACGCTACGTGTAGGGTAAGGATTTCAATGACAAGAGCGTGGTGGCACATCATCGTGGCTACATCGGACAGGTCACATAGTTTTGCAATCCTTGTGGCGGAGAGGAGTTGGATGGGTGAACGCTACGTGTAGGGGTGGAGGATTTAAATGACAAGTATGTTGTGGCAAGAATTAGGGTCACCTAGGACGAAACAAACGCTGTTGTTTGTTCTTGTCATGCATGACACTTCTGCTTATCAGTGAATTGTAAAAGCGTTAAATTCAACTTTACAGCCTGTTCGTCCTCTTTACCCTCCTAACCCTTCCCGTCTCTGTATCGTGTGCCGTGTATCATGCCCATTTACAGCACGTTACGTAACATATAGCTATTACGTCTTTATCTCAGAGTATTGAAAGAATGGCGAATACTTGCTGGATGGGGTTTAGATGGTCACATGGATGTATTTTCATCATGATGATACTAAAACATAAGATAGTAAAGTTCTCAATATGTCCAGTTGAGTGTACTTTGTGAAAACGTGCTGGAATTCGTCTAAAGTGACATCAAAACTCAAATTAACAGGCATGTTGGTGTAATGGTCGGACACATCTATAACATTCGCACAATTTCTTCTGCTCTTTCGAAGTTCCCTGTTTTGGCCCTGAAAAGAAACAATTTACATCAGATCCTATTCTTAACAGACGTTCAGACTTTCCGGTCAGTCAATATAAAACTAATAGAATTATACATATGACTTTTTGGGTCAGTCAATATAAAACTAATAGAATTATACATATGTGTATTTTAGACAGACTTTCGGGTCAGTCAATATAAAACTAATAGAAATTATACAGATGTGTATTTTAGACAAAAATATATAAAGCATTGACTGTTGGCTCCCTATTTGTCGGAACATATTCCACTGGGCGTAAAAAGTATAGACTGGCGGTGAAATTATCTGAGTCTACCACTGAACACCGGGTGTTCAGAGAGCTTATTGACTAACGGGATTGGACTGTCATCTCTTGCAGATTGTGAAAACATTTACAAGGGCTTTATTGTGTTAACTACACTGGAGTCGTGTCGAAGTGGTGACCACCTTTCATTCAGTCATTGTGGCTTTCTCAAACTATGCTCTATCCTGAGTCCTCATCATCCGGGCTCTGGAGCTCTTGGAGGATCTCTTCTCGGATCCGATCAGGAGCCATATTACCGGACCACACCATCAAACCAACAACAACCAACCGTCACTACCGACACATCCATCCAACACGTCCGGGTCCATTGTAGAATCACGTAAGCATGATGTTGGTTTGGGATTTTCCAACGAGAGTGAAACCAGTTATTCTTTAATTCGTTGTGTATTCAGTCGTCTCGAGCTTTATATAGTTTATTAACATCCATGCAGCTGAATGTGAGTGGATCACTTTGGAACGTTTCGTCGTAAGTCTGTGTGTGTATGTGGGTTAAAAGGTCATCACAGCAAAGGTAGTCATGAGGTAGAACTAGTAGGAGGACCCAGTGTATACAAGAGCATTCCTCTTCATGCACAACACCATATATTAACGCCATGCCCTGTACCAACGCTCTGCCTATATTCACACTATGAGTTATGTTCACACCCATGCCCTATATCAACGCTCTGCCTATATTCACATTATGACCTCACACCATGCCGTATATCAACGCTCTGTCTATATTCACATTATGACCTATATTCCATAATGCCCTATATTCACTATGAGTTATGTTCACCCATGCCGTATATCAACGCTCTGCCTATATTCACATTATGACCTATATTCCATAATGCCCTATATTCACAGCATAGACTATGTTCACACCATGATCTATATTAACTCCATGCCCTATATTCACATCATGACCTAACTCCTGTATGTCCACAGGCACCTGTGGCATCACGTTGGTGAGTCACAATCACAGGATAGTGGGAGGGTCAAGCCGAACCACGAATACCCTGGCAGGTAGGTACATTGTGTTACCTGCACACACGTGCATTTGGGCAAACAGGTCCATTGTGTAACAGCACACGTGCATCTGGGTAAAGAGGTACAATGATTAACTGCACACACGTGCATATGGGCCGAACAAACGGTGAGTGAGTGAGTGAGTTTAGTTTTACGCCGCACTCAACAATATTCCAGCTATTTGGCGGCGGTCTGTAAATAATCGAGTCTGGACCAGACAATCCAGTGATCAACAGCATGAGCATCGATCTGCGCAATTGGGAACCGATGACATGTAATCAACCAAGTCAGCGAAACTGACCACCCGATCCGTTAGTCGCCTCTTACGACAAGATAGTCGCCTTTTATGGCAAGCACATGGGTTGCTGAAGACCTATTCTACCCCGGATCTTCACGGGTCCCAGACAAACAGGTTGTGAACAACTTTGGGTTAATAGCCGCCGTGGCAATCAGGACCTGAGTGGGTGAGTTTAATTTGCGCCGCAATCAGCAATATTCCAGCTATATGGCGGCGGTCTGTAGATAATCGAGTCTGGACCAGTCAATCTAATGACCAGCAGCACGAGCATCGATCTACGTAATGGGGATACGATGACGCTCCGTCAGCTAAGTCAGCGAGCCTGACCACCTGATCCCGTTAGTGGCCTCTTGAAACAAGCATGGGTTACTGAAGATCAATTCTATCCCGGATCTTCACGGGTAGCAATGAGCGCTGATCACGATGGCCTAATATTTGTTATAAACTATAGCTGGCGCAGGGTTCCTGTAAAGTCTCGTCTTAAGTCTGTGTTAAAGTATGTGAGTTAAGGTCATCATAGCGCAAAGGTAGTCACGAGGTAGAATTAGCAGAACCGTCAGCAGCAGCTGCTCTGGATGCTTTCTAGTGTCTGTGCTGGACGAGTTTTCAGACTGAAGGTTCCAGGTGAAGTGAGTGCATGGTGGTGAAACCAGCAGCCCGTAGTATTAGATCGCTATTACGGCGTCCTGTAAATAATAACATTTGGATTATACAAACCATTAAATGGTTATAGCAGTAAGTCCAACCCAACAGTGTTAATCCAAATATAGCATATGTTACATTTGACCACTTTCTAAATGGCATTGTGTATTGGTGTTCAGGGATACAATGATCAAAAAACGCGACAAGTCAACAAGACTGGCCAGCAGATCTATAATGTCATCTCTTATGACAAGTGGTCACTGGTGACCTGTTCTAACTGGTGGCTTGTTCTAACTGGTGACCTGTTCTAACTGGTGACTTGTTTTAACTAGTGACTTGTACTAACTGGTGACCTGGTCTAACTGGTGACCTGTACTAACTGGTGACCTGTTCTAACTGGTGACCTGTTCTAACTAGGACTTCCCACACGGGATACTGTAAAACTGAACAGTCCATGTGTACGTCATCCTTTGTCCGCCAGGTGTCGCTGCGGTACAATGGTCAGCACCTGTGTGGCGGAACCCTCATCGACGACCAGTGGGTCCTTACAGCGGCCCATTGCTTCCAACAGTAAGTGAAAGCATAGATTTGAAAATAGATGCGACCAAAACATTCAAAACGTTTCTAAACGTTGTGTATTCATCGTTTCTAAAGATGCCATTGTGTATTCACCGTTTATAAAAGTTGTCATTGTGTATTCATCGTTTCTAGAAGTCGTCATTGTGTATTCCTCTTTTCTAAAAAGTTGTCATTGTAGTCATCGTTTCTAAAAGATGCCATTGTGTAATCGTCGTTTCTAAAACTTGCCATTGTGTATTCATCGCTTCTAAAAGTTGCCGTTGTGTATTCACCGTTTCTAAAGTTGTCATTATGCATTCATCGTTTCTAAAAATTGTCATTGTATATTCAACGATTTTAAAAGTTGCCATTGTGTATTCGTCGTTTCAAAAGTTGTCATTATGTATTCATCGTTTATAAAAGTTGTCATTGTGTATTCATCATTTATAAAAGTTGCCATTGTGTATTCTTCGCTTCTAAAAGTTGCCGTTGTGTATTCATCACTTCTAAAATTTGTCATTGTGTATTCATCGTTTCTAGAAGTCGTCATTGTTTCTAAAAGTTATTCATCGTTTCTAAAAAGTTGTCATTGTGTATTCATCGTTTCTAAAGTTGTCATTGTTATTCATCGTCATTGTGTATTCATTTTATAAAAGTTCATTGTGTATTCATCAATTTCTAAAGTTGCCGTTGTGTATTCAAAAAGTTGCCATTGTGTATTCATCGTTTCTAAAAGTTGCCTAATTCATCGTTGCCATTGTGTATTCATCACTTCTAAAGAAGTTGCCGTTGTGTATTCATCGCTTCTAAAAGTTGCCATTGTGCATTCATCGTTTCTAAAATTGTCATTGTATATTCAAATTTTAAAAGTTGCCATTGTGTATTCGTCGTTTCAAAAAGTTGTCATTATGTATTCATCGTTTATAAAGTTGTCATTGTGTTTCATCATTTATAAAGTTGCCATTGTGTATTCATCATCACTTCTAAAATTTTTGTCATCGTTTCTAGAAGTCGTCATTGTTGTATTCATCGTTTCTAAAGTTGTCATTGTGTATTCATCGTTTCTAAAAGTTGTCATTATTATTCATCGTTTATAAAGTTGCCATTGTGTATTCATCGTTTCTAAAAGTTGCCATTGTTCTAAAAGTTGCCGTTGTGTATTCATCGCTTCTAAAGTTGCCATTCATCATCGTTTCTAAAAGTTGCCATTGTGTATTCATCGTTTATAAAAGTTGCCATTATTAGTATTCATCACTTCTAAAGTTGCCGTTATCTAAAAGTTGCCATTGTGTATTCTCGTCTAAAGTCGTCATTGTGTATTCATCGCTTCTATTGTGTATTCATTTTCTAGAAGTCGTCATTGTGTCATCGCTTCTAAAGTTGCCATTGTCTTTTCATCGCCATTGTGTATTCATCGCTTCTAAATAAGAAGATAAACGATAGAAATCATCTGAGAGAGTGCATTTCAAGTTTAGTTTTCAAGAGAGCTTTATTGTTTTCGCCCACTCTGATGTCGTATTTCCAGCCTCAGTATGAGTGTTGGCACAACAGTGCAATGCAGAATTGCTCTGTGCTTCATACCTTCAATCCTGTTATATGAAGACAACACACACACGCTTAAAATGACAATGCTCGAGGTTTAGAGGTGGTTACTATGTTTTGATACCTCTCATACTTGAGTGATTTCCAAATTCATGGTAGAACAGCAATCAGTTTCTTGTTAGATGTTTGCGGAAATAAATAAGAAACTGAACTGCATAAACTAAAGAGCATCATACTTTGTTCAACTGTATTATTAACAAAGCGGCATAAAACATTGCTCCCTAAAATGTTTGCAGAACCTACGGCAACTACTGGACAGTCGGCATCGGCCTTCACGACATCTACAACGTCCAGTACAGCCAGTTGATCGATGCTGCCCGTGTGTTCACACACGCTGGGTACAGCTCCAGCACCAACTCCAACGACGTCGCCATCGTCAAGCTAGCCAAGAGGGTGGACACCCAACACAAGGACACAAGGACAGCCTGCTTACCGGACAGAGACGAGACGTTTGATGGGATGGTTTGCACAGTCACAGGATGGGGCGCCGCGTACTCGGGTAAACACCGGGTGTCTACTGTATACTTGACAGGCACATACATTACTACACCCAAGTCCTTGGTCCCGCTTCACAAAGCTATAAGTCTGCGTTTGATAAGATCGCTTTGTAGAATAGTGACCCGGGTTAAGAGACTGGGGGATTCCCTTGTAACAATGTTTACATTTAGCTCTAAAGCTAACATTATTCCAGTAACTAGGTAATTCTAAGCTACAATAATCCCCAGTTTACAAGAAAAGCGTAAAGTCACGTGATATGTTAATGAGATTGTGTGAGTGGTGTAATTCTACGTCATCACTGCCTGGAATGTGGGCGTCTCTGCAGACTCGTATGGCGTTTTATAATAGGGACTCTGTTGAACAGATAGCTGTATTCATTAACAAGTAATGATAAATATTTCATCTCATACGTCTTGCTTTGCTCCAGAGGGTCACATCCAGCGTTACCTGCAGGAAGTTGATGTCCCCATCATGAACAACAAGTTGTGCGCCTACTACATGGGCAGCCACATCCACGCCTCCAACATCTGCGCCGGATATTCGCAGGGCGGCAAGGACGCGTGTCAGGTGAGCCTTGGTTCAAGACCATATGCCACGTGTCAAACAGTGACAAGTGTCAGACCAAGTGCCAGGTGTCAGGAACCCACTGATGACCTTCACGTGCCAGTAACAGTATATGCATCACAAAGAGGCATGTCGTGTTCATGTGTCTCCAGACCCGTGAAGGTCCGGGTTAGAATTGGTCTTCAGCAACCTATGCTTGTCCAAAGAGGCGACTAACAGGATCGTGTGGTCAGGCTCGCTGACTCGGTTGGCAATCGTATCCCAATTGCATCGATCTATGCTCATGATGTTGATCACTGGATTGTCTGGTTTAGATTCGATTATATACCGAGGACCGTCATATAGCTGGAATTTTTAGTATGGCGTTTAACAACACCTAAACGAACCGTGTGTCTCTGCATAACACTGATGGTGTTTCAGGGAGATTCCGGCGGCCCACTTGTGTGCAGGAAGGGTGGTGTCTGGAAGATAGTGGGTGTGGTGTCCTGGGGGATCGGGTGTGGGGAGAAGAACGCCCCCGGGGTGTACACCCGGGTTTCCTCCTTCATTGACTGGATCGATGACATCATGAAGAGGAATGGCTAGGTGATACTTGATGTGATAATGACTGATGTGGTGTTTGTATTAAAGGGAAATAACTCTCTTATGTTTGGTCGCCTTATTTGTTGTATCACCACAGTATGCGTCAAAGAGAAATACCCAGAAGACTTTACTCGCCGAATATAGGAAACAAACATTGAAAGAAACTATTAGTGTATTAAGTTGTATCGTTGATATTCCGGTGGCGAGGATTGTCTCACGATCAGATATGCTGTAATTCGCCGAGATGGTTTATTTGCTGTCAATGAAAGTAGGTCCGAAAAGTAAAAACATGTACGCATCATGTTGGAAAGCGCACGTACAATCTCCAAATCATCATCATTACAGACTTGCATCGGAGATCGATTATGCTTTAAATTTGGAGATGACATTCTCATATTTACCATACATTTAGAGTTCAGTTGCTTAGCAGTCGGAAAGAGAAAGACTTGAAATACAAATTCGCTTAAAACTGACGAATACTGAAGACATGATGTTTCTCTGAAAGGTGAACAGTTGTTAGTTGTTTAATTGTACAGTTTGCTAACCCGAATCTAGCTGGATTGGCCCAACATGTTGTACACTATAGTGTCGAGAGATATGGCTAAACTTATATCATACTTTGAAGTATTTGACAATAATGTTTAATGTTAGATGTGGAAGAACTGAAAACAAGCGATGACAGAAAGACCATGGTCAGACAAGCTGCACGCTGAAACACGTGTTTCATTATATGCCCATGTAAACTTACGATAGTGATACAGGGGTGCAATACGGATGACGTGGTGAAAATCCGTATTACACTCCAGATTCCGTATTGATCCATGTGCGGAGCTATACTAAATGTCGAGCTAACCTGAATACGTCAACCAGTGACACATCTGCCCCTCTACCCACAAGGAACGCCAACACATCTCCTTTTCCTCCCCTGCTGCCGCCATCACCGGTGTCTTGCTCCTCCATCTACTGTTGATGTCCACCACGTTCAGTGACAGGATCAGCTTCACGGTCTCCACGTCTGCACACAAACAGGCGTAGTGAAGGATGTTTCTACGGTACTTGTCCAGCAGTGACACATCAGCACCTTTACGTACAAGGAGCTCAACCACATATCGGTGTCCCCACCGTGCTGCCTCCATCACCGCTGTCCTGCGCCTCCATCCTCCTCTACTGTTGATGTCCACGTGACCCGCAGTCAGGATCCATCTCACTGTCCCCAGGTCACCGTCGGTGCAGGCGGAGTAGAGGTCGCGGTCTGCTTGTGATGGAGTCGCTGCAACACTTAGTAAACTGTGTACATCAGACATCTTTGTCACACATCTACAATCTTTTCATCACGTTGACTCGGACAGCATGGAAACAATTCTAAACTATTCTATCATGGTGTCAGGAATTAAGGATGGTGTGTTTAATACATGTCTTTCTATAAGAGCTACAAGTTGTAGCAATGTAATGTGTAAGGGTGGAGAGTGTTAACGTTTGTTAAACGTTACAAGTTGATAATGTCAACGTTACAAGTTGATAATGTCAGTACAACTGTTGTTTAGTATTTATTAGGGAAATAACATATAACGTTGGTTATGTCCGATTATTTTGTTTGTTGTTTAACGCCACACTCCGCAGTATTCGAGCAGTATGATGGCGACCTGGGCATAATAATCTGATTAATAAAATCCTGCGATTGACAACATGGACGTTGATCGATATTACAGGTGTCAAAATCCCTCAAGTCAGAATTCTACGGGTAATACATCAGCTGTTAAATACAGGAAGAACGAAGGACTTAGCTTCCTGCCTGCTTGGTTCTCCCACATACCGTGTGGATGAGACTCTTGTGTCGTCACTGGCGCTGGAGGAACCGTCTTGCCCTGGATTGAATCCTGACTCGGGTAATTCGATGCTGAAACAGGGAATATTTTGTTAAGAAATTTATAGATAGCACATAAGCATTATATCTACTGGCCTCAGACGTTTTCGCCTTTAACAATGTTTTGCCTTTCTATTTATGTATGGATAAATTCCAAATACATCTGTTATAGCAGAGATGTGAAAAATATATGGTTCAATTTGATTGAGGTAACTGTTCATCGAGACAGTAAATCAAGTTTGAATCCGTAGAATCTGTGAAAACCGTGTAGATCGGAGTCTTGTGTCGTCACTGGCGTTGATGGAACCGTCTTGCTCGCATCAGTCGAGGCTGAAACAGGGAATATTTTGTTATATTTTTGCTATTTATTGCACATAAGCATTATAACTACTGGCCTCAGTTTTCGCCATTCCACAAATGTTTCCTTTCAATATTATGTATGGATAAATTCCAAATACATCAGTTTTTTCTAGCAGAGGTAATACAAATATATGGTTCATTTTGATTGAGATAACACTTCATCGAGACCACGTGTCTATGCAGAGATAAAAGGGACGCTTCCTAAATTCAGTTATACAGTTTGAATCTGCAAATGTAATAAGCTGTGCACTGACTGTGTTAACAGCTGAGATGCCCCTCTTTGTTGAAATGTCGTAACTGAATAAATTATTATTTTGTTTAGAAATATAAGCATGAACGGCATATTCCAGGGTTAGGGTTAGGTACGGGATGAACATGTTCTCTAGGGGCTTCATATGAAATATACGATCATTCACATTATTACGGTGCTTGACAAAATAGATAAACAAACAAAAACATCTGCACCTAAACTTACGTATACTTCCTCTTTAGGGAATGACCACCTTTTTAGTTTAAATTCATTAACTGTGACTGGAATTCAAAACTACTTTTCCTCGATGTCCCCACCCAACCCCTCTTTTGGCTGTAGCTTGTATTTTTGGCTATCCCCTAAATTCTGATGTGAAGCAGATTAAAATGTAAGTCTTTCTGACTGACTGAGTTTGGTTTTACGCCGCTTTTAGCAATATTCCAGCAACATCACGGCGGGGTACACCAGAAATGGGCTTCACACTCACGCAGTGTAAAGGACGACAGGGTATGTTGACTTGGTGTTTGTGCGACACAGTTGTAAATCTGTGTCAGGCAAACTCTATGAAGCACTCACAAAATGTCAGAATACCGAGTGACGGCGGAAGTGCAATTCTCACACTACTATCTGAGGCGGAAAGTGTAGCTGACACAGCCGTACTTGTTGTTGGAAGCAAAGTGCTTTAATAAACAACAAGGGTACAAACACGTGGCAGTGTGTGGTGGTTAAGATGGAAATGTCGTCTGTCCGAGTGGCTAACATTCTTCGTCTGTTTCAATATTCGAAATAAGTAGAATAACATAAATTTGCCCTTCCATAATATATATTCCATTGCACTTGTTTCAAATATTGAAAAATACCTGTGTTCAACATAAAGGTTTCAGTGCTAAAAGAGCAAAGCTACAGGCCTTGCATGTAAACACCATTAAGCTGACACTGTTGGTCGTGTGCTGTAGCGGGGATGTATTTCAATGCAATGCAGACAGACAGACAGACAGATTATTTATTAAAGTCTCACAGCTATTCAATGCAGCTATTCAATGACGCAGAACAAAAGATATGCACATGAAACACATATCTGTTATTTGACTGGACAGACTTAGATAATCTCATAAAGTCTTTCGTGACAGTTGTAAAGGTTATCAGTTCAAGGGATGAAACTTACACGCACATAATTTGATCAAATATATCAAGCCTATCAGGTGAAACGCTGCGTTGTTTACCCAGACCTTCCTTCATCCCCGCCGGTGAGAGGCCAAACAAACGTCTGGGTGTAAACATTGTGTGAAGCAAACACTTGGTTCCTACAACATTCATACTGATCTACAGCAGTCATACAACATTAAACATACAAATACAATATCTATTTTAATTTCCTCAGTTGTTGGCGATCAAGAGCCAGTTTTTACTTTGCATTGTCCGAAATAGTTTCTACTTTTAAAAATAATGCTAGCTAGTTTTAAATCTTTTTGTGATACTCTAGTTACTTTACAGTCCGTCAATGACTGGTTTTTTGACTACTTGTATCTATTGTGTATGTCCAACATTTCTCGTCACTATATGGCTGAAATATTGCCGAGGTGACGTTAAATTATAACTCACTCACTCACTCATCTAATTTCCTAATTCAGTTTAAAAGCAGACACTGAGAACGTACCCACCAATATAACGTCCTACAACATGAGCGACACATGTTACTGCTAGTTATGTAATGCCTTGACTGGCGACACCACGGCCGCAAAGCTGCCAGTTATGACGTCACTGTGACGCGTCATGTTAGTAGCATGGCAACGTTTGGCGCTCGACTGCTTGTACAGACCAAAGACGTATATACACAGGATTGGAAGCATCCACTGACAGTCTCGCTCTGATGTGGGTCGCGCTCATTTGCCGCAACAGGGGTGGCTGCGCGCTATGCATCGTGGGTATTCACTAACGCTGGACACCGGAAAGGATAGCATCATATGTGGGATTATGTCAGATAAATGCGGCATTTTGATAGCATTTCATGAATCAAAGGTGAGAATTATCATTACTTAGAACATAAACGAAAGCCACCGGCATCTGTTTTCAAAGGATTAACTATTATTTTTGGCAAAGAATCCTTTTGAACTGCTGGCCAGTCGTCACTTGTGGCGCTGACTTCGAAACCAATATGGTTGACACGCTCAGTTTGCAAAAGTGTACATTATGGCCTATTTGTGCGTCAATTTACGTTGCAGGGGGTGCAGGAAGTCCTTAGTTACTTTGGTCAGATAATGGAACCATTTATTCTCTATGTACTTACGAAGTTGTATATGGTTAAATATATATTTTATTTATAGATTTTCACTCGCGATTGTCAATACATTTGTGTCAAATAGAAATATTCAGTGGCACCGTCCATATTCATTGTGATTTTTTGTCACAATTTCCAAATCATGCACTGAACCATATTTTCCAGACAAAATGAATTTTAAAATTTCAATTTATGTTTGTTGTATTCATGAAGAGTTTTATTAGTTTCACGTCAATTTCGCCCTCAAAACATGCAATTAAAAATGTTCAATTTTATCTGATCACTATTCACCTATGTACATGATGTATCACCATCATTAGTCCTGATATTTTCGTAATTTTTTTATCGGAAATATTTGATTGTCTTATTTTGATAAAATGATAGAATACATGTCTATTTAACCCAAAGTAATGAAGATTTTTAGAAAACATATATTACAAATATGTATAATGCAATATTTGTTTTGGTCTGTCATGGTCTATAGCATACTACTGGTCGAGTTGGTAGGAATCTTTATTTCCACATTATTTCAAGATAATGCATGTCATATGTGATAAAAATGTATATTGATATGGTCTATTTATATTAAATGCATTAAACCACAATGAATTTTCTGAATGACATAATTTCAAAGTCTCTGTATCAATAATTTATCTTACTTTTTTGCGTATATTGCCATATATTCTATGCTAAGTATTGAGCTCATAAGAGCTCATGCAGATGTTTGTATGTAATACATTTTTGTGTTTATCATTGTTCATTATGTCTGTTGTATCTTAGATGCCTCAAACTCCTCGGCCTGTGTCCAAGAGAAAGGCAATAGGCCCTAAAAAGAAAAGGCACAGTTATGAACATTATGATGAAGAGAAGCAAGTTAAACATGTTGCTGCAGACCACTCCTACTCATTTCCTATGTGAGTAGCCACAAACATTTGAGATTTGTTATATTTTCTTGTTCTTTTAAAATATTTCTTGAATACACAGTACTGTTTTATACAAAAAATACTATAAATATTTCCACACTTTTACACCAGACTTTAATATGCCAACTATATGGGCAAATGAATACCACCATTCAATCTCCACTCAAACAACTCCACCCCCTTTCTGTCGTCTCTCCCACCCTCGCCTCACCATATGTTTAGCATGTGTAAATATGAGACAGCTACTTGGTAGATCACAATGACCATGTAACAAACAGTTCTGTCATGGCGTCGTAAAGTCATCTCCATCCATATTATATGTGTTAATATTTTTAAAGCTGATGTTTTTTTCTCCCTGAAGTGTTTCAATGAGTGATAATATATCCATTTCTATTCATTGACATATATTCTTATTTACATAATACTTGTAATAAAATTATTATTTGTATGTGATGTCATTGTAATTTATTGCACTTTTCAGAAAAGACTGCAGTGAGAGTGCCGGATGGGAAACTGCATGGGAGAATTTATATCTAAAAGACAGCAATCCATCACCTTCCATACCCCTTTACAGTGAAGTGACAGATTCTGACAA